ATAGCACCACACAGTGCAACTGGCCATACCCATTGCCATTTGGTCCCATTGATCATCTCAGCCAGCTACAAATCATACCTCAAAACCATGTGATTGTCCCAAAATTTCAACAAACAAAAGCATAACAAAACACAACTGAACATCTACCACATTTTCAAAACCAACTTAGACCCTGCTACAATATTGTGTTACAAATTTGGCTCCAAATTACATCTCAAATAAGCACAGAGCATCACAGAACTAGGGCCATACACATTGCATACCGTTTCACTTACACTAGCCGGTCACCATGTCAATAACACAGGTCTTCCTCAGCGTGCAGTCAATGTGCCTCGGCTTCGCCTTGCCTTACATCCAATTTTCGATCACCTTGCTTCCCAGCCTAATTTTGACAGTCATAGCCTCAGTTCGGTGTTTATCGTTTCATTGGGCGGATTAACCCTAACACATCTGCCAACTCAATTTCGCACCCGCCCTACGGTAGGGTGCCGGGGTTTCATAAGCATACGACATTCTCCACGGAGACCCCCTGGATGCGCCACCGCACGCGCTGTGCCAGATTAGATGCGCTGCCACCTTATTGGTAGCTCTGCCGCACTCTCACTTTACAGGACATTTTTCTCACTATACCACAAGGTTCGGCCCCATGTGTTACATGCTGTGTCAAGTCACGTCGACCAGACTCTGCGTGAGAGCAGAGTCAGAGTGAGACGCCATCTGGCTAAGTCAGAACGGAACCGATTGCAGTAAGTATTTGGCGGAGCCAGGAAACTTGGGGTCGCAGTTAAGTCAATCGTAATTGCATCCGGTCTGCGATGGTGTCATATTCAGGCGCGTAACAATTCAGATAAAACGTTATTTTAAGGTAGCGGAGCTCGAGCATGCCTGCGTAATTCAGTATCTAGGTCTTAAACATGGTATCCACTTTTGCCTATCATATCTCAAACACAGCCGAGTTCAGCAGGCACATGCCTTTTTAGCCGGTTGTGTCAAGCTGTTTCAGACATTTCAAAATGCTAGTTACGCATTGCGGAAGCGCATGATCATCTCTACAGGATTACAGGACAAATCACCGAATGAGTTTTCTGACGGCCTGTTCGTTGAATGTGCAAAAACCGAACTTTTTTGCTGCCATGCCTTTTTATCGCCGAGTTCAAAAGACGAACTGCGGGGGGCGAAATACATATTGACGTGTCTTGTTGGTGACAAGCATATTGTCAAAATTTAAATTATTCCTGATGCTAATGAGCCCAATTTTGATGTGCCCAAATGGGATGTAGGCGAGTGTCAGATCAATGAAAAATCGTTGGCACATTTTTGTCGGAATACGAATTGACGAATGGCAAAAAGACGGCTTTCAATTCGTCCAATGGCCAAATACCCGAATTCATTTGATGGAAATTCGAACCGGAGATTGGATTTAGTTGAAGTGATAACACCCCTTGACCGTAAGAGGCTGCCAAAAATAAATTACGTTCCGCGCTGATGCGGACGATGTTGGTGGAGCGTAGCCAATATTGCTCAGGTTGCAGAGGACCAGAGAAACCCGTGTAGCCTTAGAGGGAGATGGAATTTGGAACTTTGCTAGACGTGCGTGGCTTTATGTGTGGACGGTCCCGAATGGTTTCCACCAACGCCAAGCGGAATGGAACGGAAAGGACTATCATTGCCATCTGATCCCTAAATGGAATTGTTCCTATTTGGTCACTAATTAACACGGAATATGCCAATCGCCGAAAACATAAGGAATCCAACAGTATCACTTTTCATTCCATGAGGCCCGCAAGTAAAACACAGGTGCATGCCATCCTTCAGGCATACATGATAGGCAACAATTTTTCGAGTAAAAGTGACGTTTGGGAGAAAAGTAGGTAAGCGGGCCTGAATTCGTCGCCATTATCTATTCGACGTTAGAAATTGAAATTACAACCTTTGTATGCATAGGCGTAGGAACGTTTCAAAAGGTATGGAGGGGGGCAAGCTCAGGGTGTACTTCAGAAACTTTTTCTGGAAAGCGAGCCCGATGACCGGGGAGGGGGGAGGGGGTAAAATGGAGATTGTTATTGCTCTTTACTCAAATGTCATGGCTGCTATGCTAGCTATGCATCTAGAGCTGTTTATCACTGGTGCACAATCTTGCCTATTCGGCTCATCTGTCATTTGGCAAATAAGGTTATCCAGCTTCCCTGGATTATTCGTCCATTTTAACATTGTCTTTCCTGGGGAGACGAAGTTCAACGAGCGGGTAGGTACTTTGGGCTATTAAGGAAACATTTGCCTGCACAGTGTAGATGCCAAAATACGGCATGGATATAGGTTGGTGAGAACTTAAAAAGTGGATCGATGGCTCACAGTGCGTCAGGTTTTTCATGCGCCTTCATTTCGCTGGCTGCTTTTCAAGAAATAATACTTCTCGCAGCATTTTAGGCGGAAACAAACTTGGGAGTTTGAAACTGATAGAAGCAATGTGACAAAATCCATAAAACTGGAGATTCTCTTTCAATAATGAAGCCACCTAATATGACTCATCTGTCATATGCTCCTTATCTGGGCCTTGCCCCTGTCCGCCGTCGGTAGTCACTGCCCTGGCCTGGATGCCTGCTGCATGACTGACCGCGAGCTGATCGTGTGGCTACTTTGTCGCATGCTTTTGAATCATCGTTACTTCTACATGGCGTGTGAAACTTGTGATGGACACATGCAGCAGTATTTTTCCCTAATTATCTTCCCTTATACCACACCACCGCAGACAAATGCGGGTCTACCTGGTGACTAGAGCACCAGGCGTACATTACCGTTTCCGGTCAAGGGCTGATGGGCCATTCCGTCCCATCGCGAAGTGTCCTCTGGCTATCATCCTGGTGGCACGGGGCGGGATCTCCTGGTCGATCCGGAGGCCATTAGAAGGACATATCATGCCACATTGTCCCCATCCCTGACACGGGAGGACTTCTGATCCGCGCAGTTAGCCCCGGATCAGCACAGGAACCTTCATTGACGCAACAACATCCCTGATCACCGCAGGCAGTCCGATAGTTTTCACATATACCCCAGTTCCATGTTTTGCTGTGTTCCTCAGAAATATTGAGTTCTCCCTGACTGCAGATTGCTGATGGAATGGGTTTTATAATTTGTATTAACATGGCCAGCCCATGATCGTCTTATAATGCTCAAGATCCTGTCAGAGCTGATTACCAATAAGAAAACTACGTAATATGGTGTTGAACATGCGTGCTCACAAGTCATAGTGATAGCAGCCTCGAAGCCCGGCGTTGCAGTCACCAGGCCGTGCGAGGTCATCCTTGCGGCTGTATACCAAGTGAGGCCAATGAGCAAACGGAAAAGATGACGCATCTTGAGGGAGATGGCTGGTGAGCTAGGTAAATCGGCATGCATGTTTAATGCAGTGCAAAAGTAAGCCAAATGCAGCCTTAATCTGAAAAGTGGGGGGCCCGTTAACATTGCTGGCCCCTACCTTGAAAAGTTTGGGGGGCATGGCCTCCTGGCCCCCCTGTTCCTACGCCCATGTTTGTATGGAGGAAAAATTCGACATAGGTCATTCCCCTAGGCTGGTAGATTTCGACAAATGTTATTCGCATGAAGAACATTGGGGCAAATTATCATTGAACTGGACGATGCGTCGAAAGAACATTTCGTCAACTTGACATATCGACAAGAGACATGTCGTTGAATTGCCTTTCGGCCTTGAACACTTCTTTTATGACATGACAGGAAAAAGACCCATCAACAAATAATATTCAGCTAAATCGATCCAGCAAGAAGCCGGTCAGTTAGATGCCTCTCAGTTTTGTCCGGATGCAGTGCTAGAGTACCTAACCATAATGTGGGCAGGTGCGGATAGGTCACACAAAACCGGTCGATTGAGCGTGGCACAAGTTTCTTCTTTGGCCAGTAACTCACACATTAGCTGGAGTTGCCACGCCTCTGTTGTTCAATTACACCGGCAGCGTTACTTCAAAATTTCATCTTTAATGTCCCCGAGAGTTCAACATGATGCTTTTTTCTAAGCAACGTCGTTTGAGCAAAATTTGTTTCGGAGGTTCCGCTCTGAAGCTCTCCTTTACATTTGCACCTCTGCCAACCCGCACACACACGCTACTCACTGTGTCTCGGACTTGTGTGAACACCTTGAATGGCAGTATTTTTATGCCAAAGGGGTGAAGGTGATGATAACACCAGTAAAAAGTGCATGCGTGGCAAAAGTTACACCACTTCCGCAGATGACAGCTTGCCGCGTGTGCAGCTGCATGTCTGTGAATTAGTAGCTCCGTGCAAAACCTCACTTTAAATCGATCACGACGTGTTTTAATTTCATATTTACCTACGCCTGTAAGATACCATGCCGACTTGGACGTCATTTTGGTAAAATGATGTGGGTGCAACACACAGCTTGCTTCCTTCGCAACGTTTTGCGGTAAGGTTAGTCATGGCAAAGTGCCAACTGCTCAGTGTATGAAGCTCGTTTGAGGTACAATCTTATGGTTAAACAAAATTATTTCTTCCGTTAAGAGACCTGTATTTGAAGGACGCGCTTGTGAAAATGAGAAAGCGCGCGGCTTTGGGCAGGGCAGCAGCTTCGAAACCTTCCTGGTGCAACAAACACCGGTCGGGTTAACTGCTCTTCAAGGGCACCAGTTCCGCACAGTGGATCCAGAGATGTCGTTACCGAACTACCACTACCGTTTGCATATCGACTGTACGGTAGCAGCCAGAACAAGTCTCGCTGTCGCTGCGTGAAGCATACTAATACACGGATAGCGGCCGGCCAAGAAGCGGCCGGTCATGTCGCAGGTGAGCCGTTTGCTGTACTCGGCTTGCTCGACGGTGGGCTGCCGCTGCTGGACGCTCGCTGTGCTGGGTTTGCTCGACGACGAGCCGCTTCTCGCTGTGCTAGGCTTGGTCGACGACGAGTTGTCGCTGCTGGACGCTCGCTGTGCTGGGCTTGCTCGACGACGGGCCGCTTCTGGACGCTCGCTGTGCTAGGCTTGCTCGACGACGAGTTGCCGCTGCTGGACGCTCGCTGTGCTGGGCTCGCTAGACGACGGGCCGCTGCCAGTCGTGTACCGGATGTAGACCAGGAGTCTCGCGCTGAGGAAAATGCTTGCGACTCTTGTACTTGGCACGGCCCCCATTTTCCTGTGACTTTTGGCAATAACATCGATATTGTAGTGATCTCGGCCAAATGTACGCATTTGGGCTGATTCGTGGATCTATGCGTGGTTAAGCGTAAGAAGAACCCGTTTTGTAGGCGCTGAAAATCGTCAGTCTCTTGTCGTTGTGGGCAAGACGTATGGTTGTGTGCACTGATCCAACTCACGAAGACGCCGGACGGGTGTTCTCAAATCTTTCTGCAGCTGACTCATTTCAGTCTTGCGCATGGTTCCTGATATTCGACGTTGGTATTGGTATTTTGGCACAACTTTCATCACAACATTGAAGTCTTCTTACCCATCGCAATTCAGAAGAGGCACTTTCGCATGTGCGTGACCTGTCGCGCGACCGATTCAAACCTTGAGAATGAATAGCAATACTCAGCTCGTTTCAGGCTCTTGTTCAACGAAATCGTCACAACTGCGGTGGCGAAGATGGCTAGGACACGGCAAAGGGCAAGCGTCCAGAAAACAGTAAGGTTATCATGGCGTTGCTCTGAAATGCATGGCTTTACCGTATAGCTTCCGCTCCGTCAATGCACTGTATCCTTATGGAGAGCTTGCCCTTGTAAACGCTGACGCATTTAAGTGAAAGCGAAAAGAAACCCAAAAGCTAGCAGACACGTCATCAAACACCTTGCGCGTATCGCCTCGATGGAGGGGCTGAGCGGCAGAGAGTGTGTGCCAGCGGCAGATGACTGCGCTATGAGAGGCGTGAAGGCGGCCTGACCTGAATGCAGCCCGCCTGGCCACCACTCCCGTGCCTTCTGGGTTACCAGGCCTTGGGCATCGATTGGCCCTGCGGCCGACGAACGGCCCGCGCGCGGCCCGAGGTTATAATGCAGCTGCCCGTCCGATGGCAGCACTGTTCGCAGCCAAATCAATAGGCCACACGAATTTTGATAAAGCCGCCTGATTCACACAGTTTAAGGCGTTGAATACTTCACCTCGTGAGCCAGGCGGAATATTTCGCTGCCCACCGGCAGCCTGGAATGAGGAGTGCGTGGATGGAAATGGAGGATACAATAGGTAACCCTTTGCTTGGTGGAATGAAACCCGCGTTGCTTTGAAGAAACGAAGAACGGGCTTGATAGAGCTGCTACTTCCATGTAATGGCACGATTCGCTGGCACAATTGCGGACACTAAAACCTAACCATACATTAACATTACAATAGCGTCCATACGACGTGCATTATGTCCACATGTATAGCTATCACAATAAATCAAAATCCCAACCCATGGTCCGCGAATGACGGAAATACCATTCGGCGCACGGGCCGCGGCCCAGGAAATGAAGGCCGCCTGGGATGGTTTCCATCAGAGGCGCCGTCTAGTGTGTCGTCGGCACACATGGGGCCGGCGCGGCGGGTGGGGCCGGCTGCGCGCGACTGACCGCCCGCGGCGCCACAGACGGCCAGCAGCCGCCAGCAGGAGAGACGCGCGGCGGGGCGGCGCCCGGCTGCTGCGGACGGGCCGAGGCGCTGGCCGGCGGTGACCATACAGAGGGCGCCAAGGCACGTACCGCAGGTGAGGAGCCTGGGCGGAGCCAACTGGCAGGTCCCCAGTGCTCTGATCTGCGGCGTGTGGTTGAGTTGACGTGATGGTGAGCGAGACGTTTGGTGTGATCGATTATTTGAACGTGCCTCCTTTTCATTGGTTCCTCCGCCCACCTCAGCGCGTCACCAAACACTTCTGCAGAGTTGAAATCATCAAATAGGTAGTGTAGTCACGGAACTTTCATCAGCCCCATCCTTTGGTCAGGCTGTCTAATACAACATGGTGCTCCAAGGACGTTCACTAATTGCACAGAAAACAAATAGAAAATGAACGCACCATCCCAATATATTGGCATCAAGTAAGTCTCTCACATTATCGCCGTTTTATCGTATGTTTTCAGCCGAGACGAAAATGCCGCCCTAACGAAAGTACCGCTGTCGCCCATTAGCATCCCAAAGGGCTCATTCCAATGTAAAAATCTGCAGGCTCCATGTGTGTGAAAAAACGCTGGTATAAAGACGAGCAATTAATTCGGGGAAGCGCTTGCTCCATCTTTTGAGTCATTTCACTCCGAAACGATTTACAGATAGACCTAACTGCTGAAATGGAAGTCTTTCTTCGTCACCGTCAGCTTCAACATTCGTTGTTATCCGGATGCTGAGTGCTACCAAAATGCTGAAGTAGTCAGCATGTTTATATTTACCTTGAAACCACTGGGCACAAATCTCGCACTAATTTAGGCGGCACATCCGTTCTGGTGTCAAGTCATAACAGCTGTACAGATTTGTTAAGCGCTAAGGTTTAGTCATCATTTGGGATTGTGATGCTGCACGTAATCGATGAGAAGGCATTGGTACGCTGCACTCCAGTTTTTTTTTTGTAACTACGAGTATTTACGTAGAATCACTCATTTTGTCATGTGGTACTCGACATTAATACAGGTTACATCACATTAGGGATGCTCATGGATTAGGTAAGTATTTGGATTTCAGATTTGACAATCTATGGATATACTTGACTCATCTACAAAACTTCAAAGCGGAACGGAATGGATTGCGTTGAATTCGAAGCTATGGCTCCACAATTGGATTGCAATGGATCTACGCGGTGATATACGAACTACGCGGTGTAGCCGGACCAAACATTACTTTCATGTAAGGAATTCAATAGCGGATCTTGTGGTATAACAAAATAAGATGCACCTGGTTAGGTTGATGGCCTATGGCAGTGTAAAGCTAGGCTATGGCTGTTAGCGAAGAGCATTTCTAAGGAACCGTTTAATGTGACACAACAGAGTGCTTAACAAAGTCATACATATCTGAGGTAGTTTCTTAGGCAATACACCAATTTAATTCATAATTACCACCAATTCCACCGACACAAGGTTAGGTATGAAGGCCAGAACGAGACCAAACTAATCTGCTTTTTTACTCAAGAGCTTGTTTTGTGGAATAGCTTCTGGTGCTCATTTCGGATTTAACTGCGACAGGGACCAAACGAGAGCTATTTCAGGAATTTTTTAAAGGTGGGATTAGACCATTGACTAAAGTAACCACGTCTGCATTCCGTTTTATGGGTCATACCGCCTAGCGTAATCCCTGACGCTTATTTGAGCGGCAAAATAACATCAATTTCCTAGGTTTTTTGGTTATCTTAACTTCGGAAAGTCAAAAAGGGCAACTGACCTCAGTGACCACCATTGACCTTTTGTTTACAATAGGTATCTAGGTCAAGACGGTTGCATAAGGAGGTCTGTGGGCGCTTGAGACACCGATTTGGATTTTGGCCTCTTTTGACCTTCGTTGGTCCCATTTAATGGCCGTGGAACCCCAAATTGGGTGTCTTGCCATCTTAGTTTTTGAGATATCAGGGGGTCAAATTGCCCCATCCCCACCCCACCCACCCGAGCAAAGGGTATTCAACCGGCTACTCGGACGCGTGCTAACAAAATCTGACATGCGAACAGATGATGCTAAGAGATGCTCTTGCTGTGGTTTTGTTTTAAGATTTGTTGCGAACTTTCGGCATGAACAGACCCCATGGTAGCAGTGCTTGAAGCATGAGCCCTAATCTCACCATCAGGTCGTGCAGTTTCAGGTCAACGGCAAAATTTTGTGACGAAAATTTAGCGTACCGGGACCACTCGGCACAGCCCGTCATGCGCTCTGACGGTCCTTGACCTTTAGGGCGGCTGTTGCCTCTGGCCACAAGCCATTTCTGACAATAGCGAGCACCTTGAGGGACTGTACGGGTTTCTTTCCGGAAATTGAATGCACTGCTGTGCATTTATTTTGGCCGCAAATAAGCCAGGACGCTATTAAAGCTACGTCCATGCGAATAAAACACGCTATTTTGGTTATTATTTGCGTCCGAGCGTAAGCAGGTTTCAATGGCTGGGAATGAAAATGAATGCTTAATTAAGGTTTTTGTCCATTTTTTAACATAATAAATTTATCTTCATCATCAGCTGAAGAACAGACTGCTTATTCTCGTGCCTAACAATTCAATGCCATGACAGCGTAACACAATGACGCGATAATATTTTTTATACACCCTCGGTGCCAAAAATGAGCATATTTTGTTGACATTTCCAAATGTGAGCAGCAGTATGCCATCTAAGGCAGCAGGAGGTACACACTGGTGTTACCTCACGTCTTTGAACGCTATTTCGTGTTTGGATGAAGCCATTTCCAGGAGAAAAAATCCGATAACATTGCGCGTCCAAAGTCTTGTTTCTGGAACAGACTCACGTTTTGTGAAAGAGACTTGCAAACTCTTTTAAGTGCATCAAACCCACGCTGCAGTTGATGAGCGCATTCAAAGACCGGCAATGAAGCCAACTGAGCCACCGCGATGGATGATTTGTAGACAATTCTGATTGATGGCTGGGTTGGATCCCGAAATCCGATCCCCAAAATTGAACTCAGGAAGAATTTTACAATATTTTAGCTTTGTTCTTGTACAAAGTATGACATGCACAGTATTTAATAAAATACTAGGTGACCTTATACCGATAACATATTTTTTAGCCGTTTAGCAGGATTTCTTGGAGTAGCTTTTTCGTCATACTTCTTGACACGGGCAAAATATAAATATCTGCAGATGATGTCGCCACGTATGTGTTCCACCTGAATGCTAGATATATACGCATGTTATATATATATATATATATATATATATAATATATATATCCTATATTTCAGGCTATATCTCAACCGTGTGGTAAGGATTCGTGATTAAAAATGATCATGAAAACACCGTACTTAACGGCTGAAACGTATAGTTTTTGTGGTAAGATAATTTATGATTATATCAATTACACGTTATGTCCTATTGTTTGTTGACGCTCACTTTTACACGTCAAAATATGTACGTGATATATATAGCTATAGCATGTATATTATGTAGATATATGATACACTTAATATGTATATATGCATCTTATATATAAACATATATAAGATGTATATATATATGTATATATATATATATATATATATATATATATATATTAAGTGGTTGCTCGAATGTGCTCTTAACGATAAGGTCAGTGCTCCAGACGAGTCGGTCGGGTCAGTGCAGCCAGCAGCCCGCCCCAGCAGCTTGGCCTGGGCTGGCGCTGGCGGGTCGGCACCAGCTCGATCGTCGAGCGCCGCTGACCCCTCCACTGTACTATTTTTAATGTTTTGCGCGCTTCCACGCGCGGCACCTTCTAGTGCGATCGGATGAATGCTATCGGCAACTGTTAAGCTTGCGTGCCTTGGCCTTAGACGCTTAAGTGTTTTGCCTAGTTGTCGAAAGCTACTTTAAGTGAAGGGGCTTAATCATGCCTTAACAGTTAATGGGATCCCGTTGGCTTTGATGTTGTTTTGTGGCCAAAGCATAAAAAGGCCCAATTTCCGCAAAGGTTGACGGATTCTCTATCGCACTGAGCGAGATTCGATGTTTCGTACAGAGTGCACAAAAGCGCTGAAAAAACTGCAAACCCCGTCCACAAGCCCTGAGGGCCTCCTTAGATGAAACGTATGTGCACGCATTCAAGAGAGATTTAATTTCTAGGCGTATGTTGAATCACCTTCCACCACCATCAGCTCAGAAAAAAGTGGAAAAACAGGCAAAAAACAAACATAAAATTAGTGTCGCCTAGAACATTACTATCATTCGCCAAAGGATTCACGCAACCGTTACAGCAGTCCTTTGGCTTGTTGGGGAGCTCGCTCCCGGCCAGGCTCATGGAGACCCCAGGGCTGCGAGAAGAGCATGGGGCATCTCCTCCAGTTGCACAGTCCCTGTCTCCGGCACCGTCACGAAAAAACACGGCCAGGCCGCCCACCGTGCACCCGAAGAAAAGGTAGAAGAACGTGCCTTGGTGCGTGAGGGCTGTGCGCCAGCGGCAAGAACGTCAGCGACACAAGCAGGTTGAATGACCAGTTGACGGCCGTGGTGATGGAGATGCAGGTGCTGCGGGCCCACACCGGAAAGCTCTCTACTGTGATGGTCCACGGCATGGCGCCCAGGCCCGGCGAGAACGGCGTGATGTAGAGGAGCATGCCAGTGATGGGCAGCCAGGCATAGATGGGGCGCCAGTTGGGAGCCCAGGTGAGCCCACCCACACCCAACGCGGCGGTGTCGGCGCCGCGGCCGGCCGCCTCCGACGAGTTGTGGGAGGAGACGATCGGCATGCAGGAGCCGTTGGCCGGCCCGGCAGCCAGGTTCCGGAAGCAGAAGCCGCAGACGCAGGTGCAGGTGCACGTCGCAGGTGCTGGCCGTTCAGCCGGCCGCCCCAGCCACACTAACGGCCGGAAAGGCGCTGGCGCTGAGCTGGAACCTGACGCCGAGCAGCAGCAGCGCCAGCGCCGAGCCGAGCGTGCTCCGCAGCAGGATCGGTCGGCGGCTGGCGAGGTCCACCAGCGTCAGGCTCACCGACTTAGCTAGCACGCTCGGCAAGATGGTCATGGAAGAGAGCCAGATGGCTGTGACCATATCTCGCACGCCGGCCAGTGTGGTGATGTTGGCACTGTAGTAGATGACCGTGTTGACGCCCGACACCTGCTGGAACAACTGCAGGAGCAACCGGTGAGCACGGCGCCGCGTGGTCGGGTCGCGCAGCACCTAGCTGAGGACAGAGCGGCTGTCGCCGGTCGCCACCCTCGCCCGGTGAACCTGCTCCTGCTCGTCGAGGTCGGCCTTGATCGCCTCGTGCTCGTCCTGCACGTGCTTCCCGCCGCCGCGGATCCGGTGCCGCACGTCATGCGCTTGCGCGTCCCGGCCTCGGCTGATCAGGAGGCGCGGCGTCTGTGACATGAAGGCGAACCCGACCAGCTGCAGGGCGGGCCGGCAGCGCGGCTGGACCGAGCAACCAGCGCCAGCCCGCGGGCGCGGCCCGAGAGCGCTCCACACGTGAGCGAGGCCACCAGGCCACCGAACGTGATTGGCTGCCTCCGTCAGGGTGCCGAGCAGTCCGCGCGAGGCGGCCGGCGCCGACTCAGGTACGCAGATGGGCACGGTCATGCTGGAGAGTCCGAGGGGTGAGGGCCGATCACCAAGCGGCACAACCGGCTTGCGATCGAACCGGTCGGCCAGCTGGCCGTCCAGCACGCGGCCCGCCGAACGCGCGCCGACACCACTTGTGCCAGAAGTCGGTCACTTGAAATGGCGGCGCACCAACAGCATGGCGCCCGACACCACGCCTAGTCGTAGCCGAACAGTAGTTTGCTGGTGGCGCTGAGGGAGGTCAGTAGGGTAGAGTAGGGTGCCGTCGTCCGGCGGCTGTCCCGGCGCAGCAGGTAACATGGTGGGGGCCATGCGGCGGAAACAACTGAGCCAGCGTCGGCGGGCCGGCGGTCCCCGGCACAGCAGGTAACATGGTGGAGCCGTGCGGCGGAAACAACTGAGCCAGCGTCGGGCGGCCGTGGTCCCGGCGCAGCAGGCAACATGGTGGAGCCGGTGCGGCGGAAACAACTAGAGCAGCGTCGGGCGGGGCCGGCGGGCCGAGCCGTCCCGATAGGGTGGCGCTGGCACAGCGGCACTGGAAGGTGATCACGTGCGTCCATAGCATGCTGCGGGACCAGGACCACGGCGGTTGCACACGGAGGTACACGGACTAAGCGGGACCGTTTTGGGTCCCGCTTAGTCCGTGTGAATTACGTAACAAGATACATGAGAGAATACGAATGTCCTGGGGTAGTAGTGGGGAACTGGCGCGGTTCATTATTCGTCTCCGTTCTAGAGAAGCATTGTTATCGCAATCATAATCGATACTTTACTCATTATCATAATCGATACTACATTATATCCGTTAGCAAAGCGATGTGTTGGCCTCAGCACTTTGGTCGGTCCGTGTTTCGATGTCTTCTCCCAGTCAGTGCCCGGTTTTGTGCTGATGTATCACAATGCAAACACTGCCCTCTGAAAAAGCGCTGTATTTCATCTCAGGAGAGTAAGACAGCCGGTGCATGGTATGTTATGAAAACCTGAAATCAGCCGTTATTGAAAATACAATTGCCTCCCTTTTGTCGTCTGCACTGTTATCTGCAACGAATCGCGAGGTAAAAATAGGGCAGTGCCGCTGCTGCCTCACTGACAATTTGCTTAGGACAAATACCTAGCTCCACGGTGGTTGCACACGGAGGTCTGGGGTCACTTGAGATATCAATCTGCAGTTTGACCTTGGTTGACCTCATTTGACCCAAGGGTATTACCTAGAACTTCAAATTTCGGCTAAAGTGAGTTCACGTAAAAGTTAATCTACTATGTGAATTTGATGTGTCTAGCTATCTTAGTTTTTTAGATCTCTATCTTTTAGATCTCAGTGGAGTCAAATTGACCCCCACCCGAGGGAAGGGTGTTCAACCGGCCACCCGGGTGCGTGTTTAACCTTCAATCTTAATGTGCCCATACTTAGCCTGGGCATGATACTGAGTGGTCAGAGAAGCTCGCTGATTCGTGTCTGTAGCAAACGGCTCAAAAACACATAAGAATAGAGCTTCAGAGTAGGGAGCTGGTGATGTCTTTGGATTCAGCTTAGGACGTTCATTTAAATTAAATGGTAGTTGTGATGGGGAGCGATCATTTTATCTATTAGCATTACTATTTATTTTGCAATTCATCTCATTCTTCACTTTTCACGAACACACGATATGTTCTGCCTCCATAGGAAGTTGGTTTAAAGCCAAAACCATGAATTCTTTTCAACAACTAGACCCAGGTGTTTTATCTATGTTTAACAGACCTGATCTATGGGCCACAAGAAGACGGTCTGGGTTCTCCGAACCCCGCCCTGCAAAGAATGCATACACGCGTGCGGCACGTGGTTGTGGCGTTGCGTGGCTGTGGCTGTATGGCGCCTGACTGTGGCGTTGCGTGGCTGTGGTTGTAAGGCGCCTGACTGTGGCGTTGCGTGGTTGTGGCTGTGTGGCGCGTGGCTGTACTTCTAAGGGTATCCCAATGACGCTAATCTTTCTCTTGTCAGCTTACCATGATCTGTGAACGCCGACCACAAAAGCAAAATGTTGAATAAGATCGCAAATTATGCGGCTTTGAATTATGTATTTTGATTATTCATTCATGCATTTGTAGCCGTTTATTCGCCCATCTGAAATTTTTGTAGGTTACACATTTTCATGCATATTGGGAGGTATTCGTGTTTCATGGGTTCATGTTTCAGGAGGCCGTGTTTCACATGAGCACGTGTCTCATGGTTTCGGGTTTCAGTGTGCCATGTGTGACGTTCCACGTTCTCCAGCAAGACTCCTGTTTCAGGACGCTGTGTTTCACATGAGCACGTGTCTCATGGTTTCGGGCTTCAGTGTGCCATGTGTGATGCTCCACGTTCTCCAGCAAGACTCCTGTTTCAGAGGCCGCTGTTGGTCGGACATGAGCGCCGGTCGTAGGCCGTGCAGCGGCTACACACGCCCAGGGCAGCAAGATGGCCGCCGACCGCAGCCAGCACAAGCTGGCGCTGGACACCGGCCCTTGCGTCAACAGCCTGAACAGCGCCAATGGCACTCCGCAGACGCCCAGCACGCAGGTCCGTCTGGGGTGGGATTATTACCCGGATGTGTGCCGTGGGTGGGATTATTACCCGGATGTGAACCGTGTGTGCTATGTCACTAATGGTGGGCCCTGGACTCCTGGTTGTTTAGAGTGAGATTATTACCCGGATGTGTGCCGTGCGTACTACGTCACTCAGGGTGGGCCCTGAACTCCTGGTTGTTTAGGGTGGGATTATTACCCGGATGTGTGCCGTGCGTACTACTGCGTCACTCGGGGTGGGTCCTGGACTCCTGGTTGTTTAGAGTGGATTATTACCCGGATGTGTACCGTGGGTGGGATTATTACCCGGATGTGTACCGTGGGTGCTGTCTCTCAGGGTGAGTTCCGGACTCCTGGTTTCAGATGTGTTCGGGACTCGGAATGAAGCGATTGTGTCTTGAGTCCGACATGCCGTAGGGGAAGTTTTGCCATACATTTTGGACCCCCGAAATTTGGGATCCGTGAGCCATTGGACTTTTTGGGTGAGACACCCAATGATCTTTCACAATCCTAAATATTTCCGTAGTGTGGTGAGGGATCTACTAGTTTATGAGATTAACTCATAGTTTGCCAAATAATCTTCTTGAACGCATAATCTATTTTGAGCTGTGCTCTACAGATCTCAGAGGCTCCTTTTGTTTTTATGCGATTCTGCCCAGGACTTATTTGGCTCTAGGGAACTGCTATTGCGGCAAATGCATAGCATGGTTCGTGTACGACCTCTTCTATCCACAGCAATTTCTTCAAGAAAACCCTGCTGTCTTGTAAAACACTAGCAATGTTTTTGTTTATATTTACTGCTGTATCCAAAGCTCTCGCAGCGACTTGCCTCACTGGCAATGTTGTAGCCGTCAGCCATTAGCCAGTCCTACGGTCGCTCCGGCAGAACGGCCGGGCGTCATCACAACCCTAGAGGAGGGGCTCTGTGCACGGTGAGGTTTGCCGGGGGATGCGTCACACGACCACCGCAGCCCATTTATTTCCTGTCTACGTAATCCACAGTCATGGGTGTAGTTTGATCGTACTGTATTGTATGATTTTCCCCATTCAGTTGGAGATCGCCAGCCCTGTAATTTGGGCTCCAGCTCACCTAACTTTGAGAAAAAAGCGTGTCAGATCCCAGGAGAACCCCGTTTGTTGGCGTATTTTGGGGTGAAGATTGAGGCATTTTCACTGCTCAGCCTCTCCTCGCAACTCATGTTGCGAAACTACGGGGCCGCCGACAGCTCTGAGATAACCATTGCTGGCTGGGAGAGATATCGTCGAAAACAGAATTAAGGC